CAGCCAAGGACACGTTGAAGGTGACAGGGCCTAAAGCGGTTTATTTGTGAACATCATTGACAAGGGTGGAGAGCAGGCTGGCTAGATTTAATGATACTGCAGATGACCTGAGAAATTTGAATAAGGTACTAAGGAAATGGGGTCAACTAACAAAGCATCCACCAAGGTAACTGGTGGATGCCTTCTTGGCAGCAGCTCTTTGCTTCAGGTAGCAACGAAGAGCTGCCACCCGGACACAATAAATGATAACCCCCCCAGGCAAACCAAGAAGCATCGGTTACCAAAGGTCACCTCCAAAAGCCTACCAATTCATTCTTCACAAGAAAAAAGAAGACTACAAACAAATCGCCCACAAAGGCCATAGGGAAACAACCTCTGCCTCCAGAAAAGAGCCTGAAGCTTCCCAACCTAACAGCCAGAGGCAAGTGACAACAAAATGACAGCTTTAACCCTCTGGCTGCTCAAGGGATTTTACTATGCAACACCCTGGTGCACATATAATTAAAAAATTAAAAAAAAAACATTCTCTTCTAAAAATTTTAAAATGTATTCCCTCTTCATGGGAAACAAAGAATAAATCCAAATCCACTTACCATGGCTGTAGCAGGCTGAGAATGGTGCCAATGATATCAGCGCAACATGCTCGCTCAAGCAGCAAGGTCCACCTTGAACCTCGAAACATCTAGCAAAACATCTAGCGAAACATCGTTTCTTTGCTAGAAATGTCTAGCAAAACCAGTGGAAGGACGAGTCATCAGTAATCCACTCCATGGAAATGGGACAGAAGTAAGACAACCCCATCCCTGAGAATGCTGGACACACCTTGCATGTGAACCACATGGAGAACCAAACCCTGAGAAGCCAGAAGCAAAACTACCTAAATTCAGCTCCACATGACAATGGACTAAGTGACCACTCTTGGCTCAGGCAATAAACCACTGGGGAACAGTCAGAGTGAAGTCGGAGCACAGAACCTGAATCCTCCTCAAGGCATGCTGCAAACTCATGCACTGTGCTGTGTACTGGACAGTACTGGCCCAACCACCAACCCTGGGTGGCCAGGTGAGCACTGGCCACAAATCAGAGCCAAGGCGTCCCTGAACACACCGGGCAATGGGGAAAGATGATGCTACAGTACTTAACCCCAAAAAGCTCAAAAGGGAAGCAGGTGAAGCAAGAGTCGATGAAGGGCTGGCAGGGGCCCGAACCTGCGGATATCGGGAACAGCAAAACCGGTGAAACCAGAGAAATCAATACAACACCCAGAGATAAATCCTGCTTATGGGAAAGACCATGCAGGCAAAGTTCAGGTTTCCACACAACCACTCTTCTTTTATCTGCAACTGAACCGGGTTGTCATAATAAGGAATGGAGTAGAAGACCCGCCATTGACTATCAGATTCCTATATGGCCCACTTAGCCATGTATGCTGGTGGAGGCTTGAAACAGTAATGTGTTTGAACTGCCAGCATTATGGTCATGTGAAACGGCACTGCCCCTACGAAACTGCCTACCCACTGTGTGCTGGTCCCCACGGTCTTACAAGTTGTCCCCGGAAACTGAACTATGCAAGTAGTGAAGAAAATGAGGTGACCAAAAGGCCTCCCATGAAATGCACAAGATGTGGCAAGGAAGGTGTTAAAGCCTGGCATAATGAATGCAGCCGGGGACGACACAAACACCCACTGGGCACAAACTCAGCTGGGACTGGTCAAGGCCGCACAGCCCAATCTGCTACTGAAGATCAGCGGATCCCAATGCTGGGCCTTGGGAGACCATCGCGACTACATCTCCTCCCGAGTGGTGCTGTACAGAAAATGAGTGAAAAAAATTAAAATATTGAGAAAACCCTCTAGTTGGTTCTTGGCTCAATTGGTCATCCTCTCAATGGCTCAGAAAAAGCTCACACCACAATCACAATAGATGGTAAAACTTCCCCACCACACAGTGTAGTGAGTCAAACCACTAGCGATGTTAGTGTAGGAAGTGTGTTTGCACCTCATACAGACATTACGCGAGCTGATGCCACATGCTTGAATTTTGATAAACACAGCAAAAGTGAAGAGGCATCAGGCTCAGAGAGCTGCACTCAACTCAGTACCTAGCAACTGTGCAGTGCAACTTGTAGTGATGCATCCACTGTTAACATTAAAACCTTCTATGGCAGCAGGATAAAACCACTCACAAAGAAAGAGTGGCAAGATGTCTGGAAGGATATACAGTATGAAACAGTGAGGGAAGAACTAATTACTGTACCTTATACAATGTCATTAATATGATGAACTCTAAAATTAGAGATAGAACTGGGAAGCAGGATGGCTACAAAGACTAACAAGAAGAAGGACATGGGGACCGTCACATTCCTGTCCTGGAATGTGCGCAGTGTGTGCAAGAGACTTGCTGATATTCTTATGTATGTAGGTGGTAATAATGTTGATATAGTCTGCTTGCAAGAGCCATATACATCTAACACCTTACACAAGACACCACCTACACTCTAATTTAGAACCTGTACTTGAGGTCGATCTCGAACCCATTGTTGATGTGATGACTTATATTGAATTTTGTAACTAGCTCATCAAGATTGTAACTTGCTTAGCTAAATGAATTGTGGGGTTCAGTCCCTGAGCCCATTATGTGCCTCTGTAACCCTTTCCACTACCGCCCACAAAATGGGTATGGGGTGCATAATAAATGAACTAAACTAACTAACTTGTAAACATTAAAAATCACAAGAGTGAAGACACCTATTATCAGAAGTTTCAGATATCCACAGAGACTGGCTCCTTCTACCTCTGCAACATCTATTTGAGATGTGACAAAGATTGAGACATCTCTTCCTTCATTCAACAGTAACTCTGAAACCATCATAATGGGTGACTTTAACACAAGACACAATAAGTTAGGGGATGATAAAACAAACAGAAATGGTTCAGATTTTTAAAATACCCCAGGAAAAATAATATTACTTTTTTTATCTAAACCCATCTAATGTCACTCATCTCTCAGGTGAAAGGCTTGATTATGTAATAAGTCATGTTCTCTTAGACAATGCTATCCATCAATGATGATGAGAGATCCAACATCACCCTTACTACTAGAGAAAAGCTGACTAGTGCTATTTGTAGGCGGGAGTGTGTTGCCAATGTACCAGCGGCCAATCTATATGTAAGCTGGTTGAGTAGAAGTGTTGCAAATCTTGTACTAAATATTCCTATTGTATGCAACGTACTAGCCAATGATATCCCATTATATCTGTATCCTGAAATACAAGTGTCTGACATGCCCATCAACAAAAAGAACAAGGAAAATCCAGCCCTCCTGAAAGCAACAGCACTTTAAACCATAGATTCCTTTATAAATAACTTACGACCCCATGAGCACTCTGCTCATGCTGATGGGTCTGTTCAAATGTTAACAGGTTGCACTGCAGCAGCCTGTAGAATATACAAAGACAACACACAGATGCACACAGACCACAAGTGTGAGACTAAATAGCTCCATACATGCAAAATTAGCTGCACTACAACTTGCCACTGAAGAACAGTGGAGAAGTAATTTTGTGTGATTCAAAGTCAGCTCTTCAGGCCCATAAAAACTCGACACGCAAAATAGATACTGGAATGTTGTAACACCCTATAAACATTATTAATGCAAAGAGCAAGAGTTTGAGTTTCATTTGTATGGATACCATCTCACATGGGGCCTCGTAGCCTGGTGGATAGCGCGCAGGACTCATAATTCTGTGGCGCGGGTTCGATTCCCGTACGAGGCAGAAACAAATGGGCAAAGTTTCTTTCACCCTAAGTGCCCCTGTTACCTAGCAGTAAATAGGTACCTGGGAGTTAGTCAGCTGTCACGGGCTGCTTCCTGGGGTGTGTGTGTGTGTGTGTGGTGTGGAGAAAAAAAAAAAAAAAGTTAGTAAACAGTTGATTGACAGTTGAGAGGCGGGCCGAAAGAGCAAAGCTCAACCCCCGCAAAAACACAACTAGTAAACACAACTAGTAAACACATAGGTGTTGTCTAGCATGACGACACAGACAAGTCAACTAATTCTACAGGTGATAAGCTTGAAATTGAGTTGGATATGGGCATTCCAATCTCTGCTATAAAAGCTGCAATATTTCAGGAAATTAGTGAGGACAGAAGAGCAGTTATTGACACACAAAGACCTAAAAGCACAAGTATAAAGAGCTATGACATGTTTATAACCGAGAATGATACGTACGGGCAGCATAAAACATCCACTAGACAGTGACATTGTAATTGCCAAAATTAGGCTGGGATACTGATATCTATGGCAGGCGGCTGCAGGTAATGAATCCCCCAATGGTGAACATTCCAATTGTAAACTATGTGAACAAGAGCTGGGACACTCTCCCCAACACTATATCTGTGATTGCCTTGTTATCAGTGACTTCAGACCAAATGGTATGAGGTACTTTGAGCTCTCTAATTATTTCTTACATTCAAAAATATTGGAAGATATTTTTATGCTGTACCCTGATTTTGCTAGTGGAGGCTAATAGATAAGCTTTACATTTTATGTTCTCTCTTGAATTTTTAGTTAGAGTTGATTTGTTTTGTATTGAGGCTGGTATTTTCTCCCCCGATTCCATGTATAACTAACCTTCCTGAGAGATGGGAATATTTGATGAACTTATAGCTAGTTTTTGATCTACACTGTGTAATCTTTCATATAGAATAGGGTAGCAGCACATTGCTGTGTATACCTATGTTTGTTAATAAAAAAAAAAAAATTGTACTGTTGAGGTAAGATGCTATGAATTAATGTTCAGTATTTTTTTCTCCAAACAGTTTTAAATTATTTTTATTGCCAGATTATGGTGAATTTCAATATATTTCACTGATTGGTATTCATCAAGTTTTCGTATAGTTGTTCACAGTTTCAAACTCGAAATATTCTGCAGCTTTATTTGTTAAATTTTATGTAAAAAAAATTTTCACGACAATTATTACCTAGAACTTTCCACTTTCAGCGAAAATTCGTTGATGACCACATTGCTGAGACGAGACACCAAGACCTCTAAAGACAAGGTTAGTGGAGTCATAATATAGCTCACTCTTCCCAGATACAGTATTTATATTTACTTATTGCATTTAATAATATTTTGTTTTGTAATTAATAATCCTATATTTTAAATAATTCCCCAGTGGGTGTAATATCCAAAAGTGGCATTAGTTCAATGTTAAATTGACAACATCAACGTTGAATCAACATTGATAACATTGAACTAACGTTACTCTTGGATATTGTGCCCACTTATTTGCTTCTAAATTTTCTGTTATAGCATGCATTGTTGTCTATGTTCTATGTTTTTTGTGTCAATTTTGTTGCACAGTAGATTTCATGTTCTGTAATTGTTCATAGCAATAATAGCCTTGAATGATGTTGCAATCAATGTACAGTATTGCTGCTAACTTTTGTGTGACATATGACTTCTTCATCCCACACTAATGACAGTCACATTGACTATCAAAGTAGATCACAGAAATGAATGACGAAACTAGTGAGGGAGTAACACTTGTTTATAGATTACAGTGCTAATGTTAGTAGAACAAAAATTATGATAAATTATAAATTATTGTATATACAGTACGTTAGACAAATTAAATGCAATGCCTGATGTAATAAATCCATTATTACCCACTATCCTAAGTGTTTAGTAATTGTGTTAACCATCTGATATGTAAAAAGTAAGATATAAATGCACAAATGTTTGTGAATGTCCAGCAGCATGCAAGGTGTTGCATTCACAACTCCAAACCCAGTCATAAGACTGGACTCATCTAAGACATGATATATCCAAAACCATCACTAAGCCTGTGGAACAGAGATACCTTAAGATGAATGTAAACTGTCTTGAGAATTTTTAGATGATTTTTAAGCTTGGTTTTTCCCCTACAATTGACTAACAGGTTCTTCTTCAGGATGGCCAAAGCTACTCCCGCCCAACCCTCAATCACGCCCAAGCTGCAAGGGAGGTTAGTGACCTGCCCGAAAGTTTGTAAAGGGAAGGGTAAAGGTTTCATGGTACAGGTGGTTAGGTTCACCTCTGCATCTATTATTATTCCACCTTGTCCCTCTTCCTTCTCTCTATCTTATTTTTATCTCATCTTCACTCTCAAAATAGTATCTATTACTATAACAACTATTTTTGGTCATTAACTGAACAGGATCACAAAGCTTGACTGATAAACTATCTGACTAAGACAAGTCAGATCTGCTCTTACTATCAGAGAAGCAAAACAAATTGTCCCAAAACTATTTGATAAATTTCACTGAAATTAGAAACTTTAAAAATGAGAAATATGTGGAATAAGTGAATACATTATCCAGATCCCCATTGTCTGGATTCTTGGATTATTCTGACATACAAACATGCAGTTTGCCATCCCCATTTACTAGAACATATCCTGGTAATGGAGTCCTTGATACACGTTAGTACATTCCTATTAAAACACAATTACAAGTATTTTTAACACATGTTTATTGAAATAAACAATAATAAACAAAATAAACAAAGATTGCCAGAAAATAATGTCTCAATTTTGTATTCAATTATCCAGATTTTTAGTTATCCAGAGATACCATTTGGTCTGGCTAAAAAGAAGTCAGAACATGTAAATTTTATGTATTGCCAAATTTAAGATATTGGCATTTTTTGTCACTTTTATGCTGATATGGTAATGACAAAAAAATTATTACATTCTTCTCCACATAAAAGTGCATGTGCATGCTAGGTTTTAAAACCAGATACTGCATTAAACTGATGGTTTTTAAGCTTTCACAGTTAAGACAGGATTGGGCATACATACATGAATTTATGATAATGAGGCATACATTTGTATTTATATACTATACAATATATGAGAAGCTATATAATAAGTAAAATATAAGGATTATATGCATTAATATTCTGTGAATATAAAAAGATAAAAGCTGCCAAAGATGAAAAACAATTTTTTTAGATATGATAATGTGCACAAACCTAATTACCATATGTCATGAAAATTCTTCTTGCTGTATCCTTTCTGTTATCTACGTACGTTTCAACCATGTGAGTAATTATCAGACGTCATTCTGTATCTTACCTTTGCCTATCCTTTCTATAAAGTCCTGTCTTGTGTGTCACACCTATTTGCTTCCTGTAACAACTTCTACATCGAATGTCGCTCCCGACTGCGTCCTGCTGCAACGTTCCTAGTTTGTACTAAGAACTACTTTTATTCCTCCTCCAATATTCATTTCCAAGTATCTTGTTACTGCTACTTGTGTTATTCTGTTTGCATGTGTACCTGAGCACTGAATACTTAATATATAAGGAAATCGATTTTATTTTATTATTTGTAATACAGTAATTAAAAAATTTAATATAGTACATACACAGTAATTTAAATCTTTAATCTCAAATATTTGTTCAGAGTTCATATTTTTAGTGATACCATAAAATTTTGTTTTTTAATTAAACATGTGACTTGATAGGAAATGCTGAAATCTTTTTCAGAAAACAGTCACACAAGATCAGCAGTGAATGTAATTTCTGGGGGGTCCTTGGTAGCACCTTGGTGCTTGCTGCCTGGATAGCATATTTGATTACATATATATTTTACATAGATGCACCTGACAGGCCACTAACACTCTAGTGGCCTTTATGAGGACAGGAAGCTGGCAACTTGTCAAGGATCCCTCATTTGCCCCCCAGGGCAAATGAGGCCAGAAAAATAAAAAAATAATTAAATAAATATAAACAAATACCGTATTTGCCAGAGCAAAAAAGACGCACCCCTATTTTACAAGGATATTTTGTGGAAAAATCCATTTTAGTATGTTTCATCATACATTTATTGAAAGATATTTTTAAGTGATTTTTGTACCCCAACTCTTACCTCCTCCTCTAAGATCAGCTGTATAGTTGTTTATATTTTGGGCAAGAGAATTGCTATACAGGATGTGAAACATGTATTTCTGGATGTGTTGCTGCATCAGGCTACCCCGTGGTTGGGGGTTTTCCTTATCTGCCATCGACTGGGGTTAGGCACCCAGAAAAGGAGGCATAACAAAACAAACTCTACATGGTAAGAAACTAACAACAAAAACCAAACAGAGAGGTAGAACTCCCTTCAATCCCAAGGAAACAAGCAAACGTAACACACTACTGCCGCACCGCTCATCTGTGCAGCCCTCCCCTCCCCGAGAGGGGAATGGTGGGGCTCCCGGACCTCACCACGCCGGCTGCATAGCACTTCAGTTCGTAAGCTAATGTCAACTGGGACAGATGCTTCTCTGGCCTCAGTTTCCTAGGCAGTGTTTGCCTCCGTGGTGCTCACTGCTGTGTTTTTGTGTTGTGTGGTGTCCAGGTGTTCCTCATCAATACCGGGGCTATATGTGCTTAGGGGCTTCCTTCCCTAAGCGCCCTGTGAGTACTGCCCCTGCGTGTCAGGGTTATCCTCCCTGGGGCGTTCGGGACCCATTCCTGAAGGGGTTCTTGTTGCTTGGCGTTTGCCTTGCTCTTGGGGCCAGCTTGGGTTTGGGGCCCTTGTTTGGCCTTGAGTAGGGACTGGTATCGTGCTGGTTGGGGCGTCAAGGTGTTGCGCGACCTGCTACCTACGCGGCGACCGGTTCCTGTTGCCTCTGGGGATGGTGTACTTTTACGGTGTTTTTCTTTTCTTTGTATTTTCATTTGCCTGGTGGGGGTCTGCCTAGTGTGGCTATAGTTCCACTGGTATTGTTTGGCGGCCGTCTGTTAGGCCCCTGTGAGTGTACACGTCGCAGGGGTTTTTAGTGTTAGCAATCTACCCCTTGTTAGATTTGAGTGTTTACCAGTTAGTGACACCTTGCCGGGCTTCCCATAGTTGTCACCCTACGGGCCCTGGAAAGCCCTGTCTGGGCTCTGTGGACCAGTGGATGTGTCTTCTGGGTTTCAACCCGTCTTGTGCGGGTTCGTTGGTTTCTGTGCCCTTGTCTCAGAGTGACAGTCGCCTCTTTTACCTTCGTCGTGCTGCCTGATGGGTCACTGACACCTTGACCCGGAGTCTTGCGAGTTGTGTTCTCTGCTTGTTCTCCAGTACTTTTCTGAGGTCCTTACTGTTCAGAGTACAGGCAGCATCCACGTTGCATGCCCAGTTTAGGTTGCTACAATGCTCTAGGTTGGTTTCCCACCCGGATGCCCTAGGGCTGCCCCGTTTTGGTTAGGTGCTGTTCACCCCTTCCCTCCCTGTTCCCGGCTCTTGACCGTCTGCGGGTTTCGGGGTCGGGGCGGGGTTTAGTTGGTGCCGAGAGTCGGGCGGCTTCGGGGGCTGCCCCGTTTGGGTTGGGGACGGAGGTTTTCGAACCTGTTCCTCCTGCCGAGCTCCTGGATCTTACAAGCGACCCTTTTCGCTGCTATGTTTTCCCTGGACTCTTCCCTTTCTTTAAGCGCAGAGTGTGTGGAGGACGGCTCTGCCCCGGGGCCTCTGTTGTGGGTTCCTGGGTCCGTGGGGAATGCCCGCTAGCAGTTCTGGGGCTGTTTGCCCCTGCTTGGGTTTTCTGCTTTATGGGCGGGGTTTTTTCATCCCTCTAGTCTGCTTACTTCCCGCATTTGCTGCCGTGTTTTCGGATCTCTTGAGTCGGTCGTGGCTCCTTTGTTCTGGTGGCCATTTTCTTTCTGCGGGTTGCTTCCCCACCTGGCCACTAGGGCGGTGCTACAGTTTATTTACCTGTGCCTGGGTGTGCGAGCTAGCGTTTTGGGGGCGTTTTTCCACCTCCTTCAGGGTTTTTTATCCTGTTGCTGTTTCTTTGCTTTTTCTCGGGTATTCTGCCCTTCTTCTATTCCTCTGGGACTGCTTGGGTGTAAGTTTCTACACCGGTTTTTGCATTTTCTGTCTGTTTGGGTCTGGGCCCTGGGGTTTGGATTCCGTGTCCCTGTCTATCTATGCTTGCTCCCACACCTTGTGTCCCTCGGTTTTTAGTCAGTTTTGGCCGTTTCACTGGGGAATCTGTCTGGGTGCTGTGCTTTGCCCTTTCTGTAGTATATTTCTGCTGGAAAATGTAGTGGTTTGGGCTCCCCCAGGTTAATTCCGGGTTCGTTTGGGTTCTTTGGTTTTGTTCCAGTGGTTTCTTCCTCTTGGGCCCCCTTTAGGGGGTTCGGAGGCTTTTAGTTACCTCGTATGTGACCCGGTTCTGCCTTCTGGGATTCAGGGATCTTCCTGGCTTGTAGGCTGCTCTTTTTTTGGGTCTTGGCATGTGTTGTGGTCGTGCCAAGGCCTTAATTTTTGTTGTTGAGGTGGGCCTTTTGGTGTGCCTTTGGTGCTCTCTCAGTGCCTTTTTAATCTGGCCGGCGCGATGCTCTCTGCCCGCCAGTCGACGGATCGTCTTTTTATTTTTTTATTTTTATTTTAATTTCTATATACAGTACTGTAGATTTTCTTTCAGAGGAGGACTTCGATCCCTTCTCTGTTGATGGGGCGCTGGGGAGGGGGGCTCTGTTGCTTGCTCTGTTGGCTCGCGCTTGGTCCCGCTATTCGTGGGTATTTTTGGGTTGTCTCCCGGCCTCTGGTGGGGTCGGGCGGGTCCTCCTCCCTTTGGGCATTTGGGGCTTGCAGGGTGGGCTTCTTTCATTGCGCTTCGTCATGTCATTTTGGTGTAGGTAGACGTGGTCGATCCACCCCCATCCTTCCGGGGTCCCCGCCTGTTCCAATGCTGACATGGGACTTTGCGTATCTGCAGTTCTTCTGGACTTGTTCCATCTGCCCCCTGGATTCTTTGCCCCTCTTCGGATGACTGTTGCCTCCGGTCCGGCTTCTGTTGGGGCCGGGTGCCTGGTTGGTGTCCCTGAACCTCCGGGTCACTTCTTGGCACGTTCCTCTCCAGGGTTCCGAGACTCGCATCGTTGGTGGTGGGGCTTCAGGCTTGCCACTTTCGTTGCCTTCCTTACTTTGTATTTGTCACTTTACATTTATGCATCTTTACCGGGTCCTGGTGACCTGTCTGCATCTGCTCAGGA